GTAAATATCCGATTTTTTTTTCTCTAAAGAAATTTCCTTTCGATATACTTTGTATAATAACAAACCATACGTTTTTTTTCTTGAAGTGAACTTTTTGTTGATGATATTGTTGATTGAATTTGAGAACGAATAAGATTGACAGCTTTATTCATTAGAGAATATTTTCCTTCATCACATGAACTACCAGTAAAATCATCAAGGTCTGCTGCCCAAAACATAATTCCAGCTAAACCCATTTCTTGAACATATTGAATCTATTGAAGAAAACAGATAAATAATTTTCATTTGAATATATATGTTTATTTAAAAAAGCCTTATAATTAATTGAATAGAGATCATCATATCCAATCCATTGTTCATCTTTATAAGCATAATTTAATTTATGTTCCTCATCAAATATTTTAGTCCAACCTTGTTGTTTAACACGAGTACATATTTCATAATAAACTAAAAATCCTTGTTCATTTGTATATAAACCAGCATTACCTTAAATGAATTTATTTAAAAAGTGTAAAAGTAAAATTGAACATAAGAACCTGGTCCAACAGCTGGTGCACCAATATAGTTCTTAGTTGAACTAGCTAATCGAAATGTTCGACCATAAACTGCTAAACCCATAACAATTTTCGATGAAGAACAACCATTATTTATCCAATAACGAACAGACCAATCTTGCGTTAGTGCTTTATCTAATTTATTATCATTTTGACGACTCTATAATGGAACATGAATATCAGTTTTCGATTCCCATGAACTTAAGTTAAAAAAATAAAATAAAATCTTAATTTAAAATTAATCGAAAAGAAAAAGAAAAATATTCTAACCCATGTAAATCATAGGACATTAAATTAACAAAATCAAGAATTTGACAAACTTGAGGAATTTCATAAGCAGCATCAATTGTTGATTTTCCAGCACCAACAGCTGCTGTTAACAAAAAATTAAAAGGACGAAAAGCTCTTTTAAGTTCAATTAATAAATTAGTAAAATGTTGTTTATCGGTTGGTCTTGAACCATGACGTGAATCTGGATATTCCTTTAATTAAATCGAATTGAATAAAATATTTACCCAATCAAAATCAAATTCATCAAATTGATATTTTTCTAAAAAACTAATTGTTGTTTTAATAAAAATTTGTTCTTTGTGTTTGATTGTGAACCATATTAGAAAAAGAATAACTTCCATGATTCGATCTACCAAGTCCAATTAAAATTTTTAATTTATTTGATTTACGTAAATTGATTATTCTTTGATACATACCTATTG